TTTAGGGATTGGTTTAGGGATTAGGGTCTAGGGATTATTTGGGGTAATGGAAAAGAAAAATGGAAACTACTATAGTAAATGGGGTTGTATTGGGATGATGAGAAAAATTGAAACTAGTATTTATGGTTTAGAGTTTAGGGATTAGAGTTTAGGGCTTAGGGTTGAGGGACTAAGGTTTAGGAATTTTGGTATTTGGAGTTGCCAAACCTTGGCGGGTGTCGTTTTGGGAACCCCGATAACAAAGATGGTATATGGTTACGTATGGGAGCCCCCCGTTTTTGGAAACTCTCATTTAGAGTTTAGGGTTTCAGGCTCAGCGCTTAGGATGGGTACAGGGATGGTAAAACGCATGGGGAAGGGGTGATTGGAACCAGTACAGAGTTGACTTTAGACAGTTATATAAGGACTACAACCCGGTATCATACCCCTCATTACCAACGAAGGATGCCCGAAAGGACTTGTGTCATTCCAGCTCGTGGGCTGGTATCTTGGGCTTAGCGAGTGAGGCGTGGTAGAGATTGGGAGGTTCAGGCGAAGGGCTTCCGGGTTTCAAAATGCAAAGACTGCGATAAGCGCACCATGTGCCTGCAATGGTTTAGGGTTTAGGGAGTATTTAGGGTAATGGTAAAACATGGAAACTACTATAGTATGATGGGGTTATACTGGGATAATGGAAAATAAAATGGAAACTACTACTCAGGGTTTAGGGTTTAGGATTTCAAGGTATGCCGGTATGCTGCCCATGACCCTTGGACAAGACTTGATTCACAAAGTCATTGGTTGCACCAATCCGGGGCCCGTTGTTCCAACTTTGGGAACTTCGTGCGCACAGCACCTTCTGTATTATCTTTTTGCGGCATTTCAGCAGGACAGACTTTCAAGCGACCCGGCAATAGCAGATATTAGTGCTGTAGCTAGATTGACTCGACTGCCAACTTTGCCACTAGAAACTATAAGGTATAAGATGCTTGGGGCCATGCAGGATTTTTAGTGTTCACCGTACTTGGGACGCTCCGTGAAACTGATGCTTCTACTCCAGGGACCGGCGAATCAACTCGCATGCGAGCCATAATCTAAACTCCTAGCGTCCCCTTAATAAACCCTACAATACTCCCTATATAAGCCCCTTTAAGGAGCTTAGACTATAGTACAAGTTGATCTGAAAGACCAAACCAGAAATCGTAAAGACAAAGTCTTTTTTGCTTCCGGCCTGCAACGCCTCTGCTGGGAACAGCTCTCAAGATATCCAGAAGCCCTAAACTCTAGATCCTAGACCTGAATCCTTAAAACCCCTAAATCCTAGACCTAAATCCTTAAAAACTCTAAATCTTAGACCTAAATCCTTAAAAACCGTCAAGTCAAGCGCGGTGCTGTTGAAGAATCCAGGTAATCAGCGGAATGCCTGGGATCTTTGTGAGCTATAATCTAAACTCCTGGTATCCTCCGTTATAACCCCTAACATGGAGAATCAAATGGAAAAGAAAATAGGGATCTGTGAGCTATAGTCTAAACTCCCAGTATCCCCCTGAATAATCCCCGTAAGACTACCCTTTATAATCCTGTATATAACCCCCTTGAGGAGTTAAGATTATAGCTCTTGTAGCATGCGAACTTGGGAGAAAAAAGGCTAACCTTGAAACCATACATCGTATTTTCGTTCAGAGGTGACGATGGGCTGTAATGTTTCAACTTCGTCTTCGTTACAGTGTTGTAGATTCGATCTTGGGGGGGGGTCCAATACAGACCCCACATAATGTTGGACCCTCTTTAGTCTAGAGCCGCCCTATAATGTGGTTTGGAGCCGGCTTCTTCAGGGTCAGGGCAATGATTGTGAGTCCCCTATATTGTGCTTTGATTTTGGGTGACTAAAAATTTAGGAAAGATTCTCAACTTCAATCCACAGGGACCCCAGAACCTTGGGAGGCTGAGGGCCCTTATTGAGTGACCTTAGTATGCTCCTTATTATGGGAACCCTTAATAAGGGCCCTCTACTTTTGAGAAGCCCCATATCAGCTTCTTTCAGAAGGAGGAACAGTAACAAAATGCAGCGGGGCTCCGCCTCGGGGCTACAGTACCAACCCTAGCTGACCTCCTACCTTATACGCCCCAAACTCGAAACTCTTAAACCCAAAGCCCCGAAGCATTTCAGGCATCCACCAGGCTAGGGTTTAGGGTTTCGGGGTTTAGCGTTTAGGATTCTAAGTGCGGCAGAATATATACTCCCCCTCAAGTAGATAGAATATGGGATACATAGGGATCTTCTCATATTATACCCAAAGCCATATTCTATCTACTTAAGGGGGAATATAAACGCAGTTTAGGGCTTAGGGTGAATGGTAGCTTTAGGCTTCAGGGCTCTAGCTTGCCTGCAGGAACAGCATTATGGAAGCCAAGGGTGCACATGGAAAAATGAGGTTTAGAGCTCAGGGCAAAAATCCATCTGGAGTAGCCTAAGCCTGAATCGCCGTAAATCTTGCACACCGACCATGTCCGTCCCTTCAAAGGATGGCCCTTCAAAGGATGGAAGGCACTATACTATAATAGCTTCCATATTCTTTTCCATTATTCCTATATAACCCCTATATAATCGCTATAACCCCTATAGTTTCCATTTTCTTTTCCATTCTAACCCCAATGCATCCAAGCCCCAATCGAAGTTGTTACCATGTAGCCATGGATGGGCAGGTTGCAAGTACTGGCTCTGCAGCGAAATGGTTCATGTGACCATAAGAACAAAGGAACCTACGGAGACTACTGTCAGGTGAAAACGCGGGCCGTATCAGCGTTCACTCATTTTTTCCACGGAAGTTACCTTGAGCCATCTCTGCCTACCCTGAAACTCTGAACCCTGAAACTCTCAACCCTAGACTCTAAACCTAAGGTTTGGGGTCTAACTTAGGCCCCAAACCCTGATCCCAAGTCATGAAATCTCTTTCTTGAGCTAGAGCTCCATGATGTGAAAGACCTCAACCCTCAAACCCTGAAACCCTCAGATGGTAGTTGCATAAGTACATAGACCCCAAATACTGAAATCCTTGTTCAAGATCTCCCAAAAAGGTACCCCTGATTATGGTAAACCCAACCCTAAGCCTGATCCCTAAACCCTAATCCCTAAACCCTGTTCCCTAAACCCTGAACCCTGATCCCTAAACCCCAAACCCTAATCCCAAAACCCTAGTCCCTAAACCCTAAAGCCGCAAGTCTGGGTGCAGGATCGGATGATCATGTTGGCAGACACTGGAAGGAGGCTCAGGCTGAGATTGTTCAGACCTTGTAATGAACAAAAATCGGGTTTAGGGTTTAGACTTTAGGGTTTAAGCTTTAGGGTTTAGGGTTTAGGGTTTGGGGTTTGGGGTCTAGGGTTTAGGGCTTACGGTTTAGGGCTCAGGGCTTAAGGTTTATGGTTTGGGGTCTAGGGTCAAGGGCTTAGGGTTGAGGATTTGGTGTGTGGGGCTTTGTGTTGAAAGCCTAAAACTGAGGGGAAAAGGGGCGAGGGGTTCAGTTACCACTCTCCCTATACCACCCCCGTAGATTCCTCCTTCATCTGCTTATGTGCAAGACTACTTTAAAGGAAACCTGGGTCCATGATTGGGTTTAGGGGGTTTAGGACCCTTGGATGTTTGGTGGGTTTGAATGCTAACTCCTGCCATGATTGGACCCAGACTCTTGGGTGATATAAACTCCCAGTATCCCCACGTGAGCTATAGTCTAAACTCCTTGTATCCCCCTTAATAAGCCCTATAAGAGTAGCTCATATGAACTTCCCGTATCCCCACGTGAGCCCCCCGTGATATCATGAGCTTGATGGGCGCTTATCCTTGTTGTAGCACACTGTAGAAGACGAGCTTCCGATGTTGGCGGCAAAGGCCAAGGAAATAATCAGCACGCAGCCCGCCTCCTGCAACATCACGGAAGCTTCGGGATGCTCACACCAATAAAACACGCACATCCCAGCACTGCAAAGCTGAATTACAAAAGGTGTAAACTGCAACACCAAGAGCCACAACCACACGCGCCAAGGGTTTGGGTACTCTCCTTCGAGGTCCCGTAACGGATACACAAGTGCGAGCTCCAAAAAAACTGAAGCTGCATTTGACAAACCAGAGCTCATTCCCACCCAACTGCTCCAGGCCGTCTAGAAAACCTCCAAGCAGCATAGCACACAAAACCCTGCCCTGAACCTAATATTCAGGAGCCCAGATATGCGAAATACACCACGAACACTCGTCCCCACCTGGCTGAACATACGCGCTCCTCAAAGTAATGCCCCCTAATCATCCCCTGTCCCAACTTTAAGACACCCCCCCATGAGGTTGAAGGTTTTGGAAAATACTTCTTGCACGGGTGCTGGGGGACCTTGAAGAATAGGACCTAAACAAAGGGACCCAACTCATACTGCGTGCAAGAAACCCGCATAATGCAGAAGTCTGAGGTAAGAGCAGGGTAACATGAGCTATAATTAACTGAGCTATAGCTCAAATATTTTCCTATCTGGGACAAATCCCTGCTTTACCCTAAACCCTAAACTACCAACCCTAAACCCTAAACCCTAAACTACCAAGTCCCCTGGGCTCCTTCCCGGTCTGAATCGGTCGTGGAACGTACGCCCACCGCGTGGGCAGCAAAGCAAGCAACACTACCGAAAGCCTGGGTTTCAGCTTTACTGTCGGGGCCTAGATGACTACCAATACACAGATATCATAAGGGTTTTACCCCAAGAATGGAAAGAACATGGAAAATTGGATGGAAACTTGGTTTGATATAGGGGTCTATAGGGGCTATGTAGCGTAGGTAAGGCTAAACGCTTGATAACATCATGTTGAGGTCGATTCTATCTGAGGTGCCTTATATAAGAATCACACAAGGAATCTCGGACCACAATGTCGGCAACTTTTAAGCTTCTACATTATGAATCGCTTCTGCAGACTGGGGCTGCTTAGGGTTTACCGTTGGCTGCTCTGTGGCAATATACAAAGCTCACGGTTTATGTAGGGTTCGGGGATAATGGAGAATCGAAATCAAGACAAAGTGGAAGAGGAAATGAAACGAGGAAAAAGATATGGCTTCAGAGCTACATTGGGTACTGCCCCCCACCGAGTAACAGTCTGTAATAGGGGTAATTCTAAGGGCGGCACGTATTCATACTGTAAATATTTTCCACCTGTTACTGAGTGGAGGCAGTATCCATCGCGTTCATCTCGCGAAAACTAATACGTTCACCGTAAACGATTGGCATCCAAGCATTTAGCCCAGGTGAGAGTCTAAAGCTCCCCTGCGAACTTTCTTACGCTGGTCCTTGCGCAGTTTTCTGTTTTCGTATATGTTCTATAGCCTAAACTCCTTGAACGGGTTTATATAGGCGACTAGATAGGCGACTATTATAGGGGTTATATCAGGAATTTATAGACGAATTATCGCTCATCTGCTGCGACATGTCGTCTGCGGCTTGAAGGTCCTCCCATTGGGGGTGAATGCTTGATCTGACCATGCTGGAGAAACAAGCCACGAGCTCTTTGTCAAAAGGAGGGCCCGCGGTACTCCTCTCAGATAGCAGGATTTTGGATCATAAAATGAACAACCGCAACTTCGCAAAACAAGCAAATAGCCACGCCTGACGGAGGAAACCAAGGCTCTCTGCACAAAAAAGGTTCCTCCCTAAGGTGCTCTGATTCATATGAACCATAGTCTAAACTCCTTTAAAGGGGGTTATATAGGGGATTATATAGGGGACTATTACAGGAGTTATTAAGGGGGATACTAGGAGTTTAGACAGTAGCTCATATGACTTGTTTCGGTCCCAAACCACATACTGGCAGGCTACCAGGCTACCAAAAATCACCTAGCCCCTGAGCACGGAAGCCGATCACATGTTCCAAGTCGAAAGACTGAACAAACCAAGCCCATGCCATCAGTTATATTATCCCCCCATAATGGAGCATCAGACGGAAAAGAACATGAAACATGAAATGGAGACTGGGGGAGTACAGGGCTTAATTTAAATTCCCACGAATCATGTAATCTCCACGTAAACGCCTTCTCTTTGGTCGCAGAGTCGCAACCAGAAACTATAAAACCTCTATCTGATCCGCAGGAGGCTCTCTCCTTGTCTCCTCACATACACATAAGCCCCACCTTGCCAGAAACCTATAGTCACCCTGGAAATTACTATTTAGGGTTTAGGCCTGAGGGTGGAGGGTTATAGTCCCCCTTGAGTAGATACAACATGGGGTATATGGGGATCTTAGTATACCCAAAATCATATCCTATCTACTGGAGAGGGACTATATATAATCCCTAAGCTGAATCTGAATCCCGACATAGTCTCGAAACCCCACTACACCTTCACATGATGCCTGTTGTCGCCCTTGCGTATCCCAAACCATGCGCCAGAGCACGCCACAAAGGTCAAGAGCTGCTGCAAAGCAGTGACTAGGAAGGGCGCAGGCCTTTGCGAATCTCAGGCTGTGGGAGATTTCTGTGCTTTGCGGCCACCCTAAACCCTAAAGAGTAGTTTCCATTTTCTTTTCCGTTATCCCAATATATACCCCATATTCTATCTACATGAGGGAGGCTATAGGTTTCGGACTTGAGGCGCTTCGGGTTTCAGGCTTCCAGGTTCCAGCCGAAGCATCCTACGGCCTGCGGTGCCCTATGAGGTGCGCCTATGTGGGCTGGGGGCTTGGAGATGCTGAACCCTAATCCCTTAAGGGTTTCACCCTAAACTCGAAGCCCCCTGTCATAGCCCATATAGCCCATTGAACACATGCCTTCCAAGATGGGACTACAGACTTGCAGTAGTCTGCAAAATAACCCGAGCACCCTAAAAAAAGGAAATCCAACCCCAGACCAACTTCAAGCGGTATAGGCTAAGGGATCCAATGGTTCAAGGTGAAGGGCTTAGGGATGAGGGTTTGGGGGTACAGGCTACCTGCCAGAGACTAAAGTTGAATCTGATGTTCGTCTCTTTCTCTCAGGGACAAAACATGCGGCACTGCACTGGTAACAAGTTAAGAACTTGCCCTTGTTTGTAAAAAGGGAAAAGAGATCTACCACTTAACTTAAAGGTCGTGAACTTGGGATTTTGGGCTGGGCTCACCTTTTCTCTCAAGCACTTTAATCAAGCAAGCAAGGTTCAACACTACGAAACCTTGCCCATGCAACAGGTAAGCGAGAGAGACAAAGGCCTGGAAAATATCGCTGGGGGTAGATTTAATTACGTGTATTTTTGGGGGGTCCCCATAACGCGGATTCTAGCATATTAGGGTCTATATTGGGGTTCCCCTATTTACGGAAATTACGATGTTGCAAGAACACGAGCCTTCGGTTGATTTAGGGTTTAGGACCTGAAGCCCGAACCCTAGCTTGGCCAAGCGGCACGCCCCTCACATTCAGTTCTGGAGCAATTGGCAGGTCAGACAGGAGAATCTTCCTTGGCTTAGGGCTTCGGATGTTCTGGAATAGAAGGGAAGGGGTACAGATGTTCCTCGGAATTAAGATCTTTTTAGTACCGCCCGACCCGTGAAGCCCTGAAGCCCATGGGATCCACAAAGGCCTGCTTCCCCCTGCCCAGACATTAAGACCCCGCCCCCCTGGTCTTAAATATTCCCCATATAAGAGAGCATACCATACAATAGGAGGGCGGAGGGTTTGAATATCAGGGGGAGGGGATCGGATTACTACAAGAGGAGTATCAGTTGTGAGCGAGGATTGTCAGGGTCCAGCAGGTAAGTCCTTCTCAGAAACGCGACCGCAAGGCTTCAAATTGGACCATGAGGATACAAGTTTTTGCTTCTGAAAACAGGCTGTACGCAAAGAGAAGTAGCAGGAAGGTGAAGAGACTTTCTCATCTTAACATGCTTAGCCCCAAAAACCAAAAACATTAAACGATTCCAACTTGGAGCGTAGCCACAAAGCTCACTTTACAGAAAAGGGTTGGAGCTCGATTAGGTTAAGTGTTAAGGGACTAGTTAGTGTCTCGCCAGGATTTCGAGCTTCAAGCTCCGAACTCTGTCAAACATCTCCTGGCTGAGGAAACAGTCCACCTCGCCCGAGAAACTCAAACAGAGGTCATGAACGCCAAGCTTCATGTAGAGGCCAAGCCCTGTCTGTGCCCCGAAGTAGATGGAGAGCATTCCGACCTGAACATGCGGACAGCTTGGACCCTCAAAGAGAATATAACCCCAATATACTATAGTAGTTTCCATTTTCTTTTCCATTATCCCTATATTATCCCAATATGTACCCTGTTTTTTTAGGCTTGGGGGCGCTGAGTTAGGGCCGGAGGGGATTAGGGTCACAGAGTGAGGATTTAGGATATGAGTTGGTTCCCAAGCTTGGGGGTAGCAAGCTTCATGTTGAGGCTTCGGGTCAACGCGTTTCGGAACAGGGTGTAGAGTCTTGGGCTTAGGGTTTAGGGGTTGGGTTCCAGGTCTACTGCATAAGGGCTTATGCTTTTGATCTCAAAGGTGAAAGAGCTGCCTGTGATTCAAGTCATAAAGAACCTTGGCAGCTGTTGGTCATATGGGAGCTTCCCAAAATCACGCCGATAGAGCCTTGAATAAGAACGCCCCCCAATTTTTGTGTAATGTCCATACGTTCCAAAGCCCCTAAGTTGCCAATTTTGACAAACCCCCATCTGGAGAGCGATGGGATCTATTCGCGAGGTCCTTGCTCATGTAACCACATACCACTGGACTCCGGGGCCAACATGGTATGATCACGCTCCGGAGTTTTGTATTTCAGCATTCAAATACGTTGTTGGGGTTTAGGGGTTGGGGTTTAATTAGGGTTTGGGGATATGGGGGGTTGGGTTTTTGGCTAGGGTTCGGGGTGGAGTTTTAATCTGGGTTTTGGGTGTAGGGACCTGACCTCCCATACCTTGGATCCTCCTTTGGAAGCTCGAGGACGGGCTACATGGAATCTCCATCGGTTCCGCGGCTGGCAATAGATTCTAGGCACGTGCCAAAGGCCTCAAAATGACCCGGGGACCTCTGAAACTGTCCAGGAATTACCTGAAGGGATTTTATGTAAGGGATGTTTTGCAAGACTGCTATATGAACTGAGCCTAGCCCTGGCCCCTCGTCATCCCGCATACTCCAACCTGGTAGTTTCCCAAAATAAGGGGACCCGTATATAGACCTTCATATACAAGACTCCTTTTTATAAGGACCCCCAAAAAGGTACCCCTACTGTCATCATTTTGGGTTAAACCCCCACCTCTGCACAATCCCCAATCTGAGGACAGCTGCACTTTGCCCAGCCTCATGCAGCCGCTTTATGGACATGAGCAGCGCTTTTTTCTGGCCACCCAGACTCAGCCTAAACCCTAAACCCCGAGCCCTAAATGAGCCATAATCTAAACTCCTTATAGGGGGTTATAAGGGATGACATAGGGGACTACTACAGGAGCTATTAAGGGGGCTACTAGGAGTTTGGACTATAGCTCAAATCTGATTCCTCTGCTGCTGCGCGGTGTCCGGCTGAGAGTCCTTCGCCGCTTGCTGCGTGATGAGCTCGTCCTGGGCTAACAGCACTCCTCCCCTTGGCCAGACGCGCAGCTGCATGGTTCACCTGTAACCCCAATTCGGATTTAGGGTTTAGGGTGTGGGGTTTAGGGTTTAGGGACCTGTAACCCCAAGTACCTACAATTCTATGGAGAATCAAATGGAAAAGAAATTGGAGAATCAAATGGAAATTGGGAGTATGTAGTAGCTAATACGGACAGGTTTTATAGGTGATACCTACTAATTCAGAGGAAAACTTACTTTTAAGCCCTAAACCCTAAACCCTAAACCCCAAACTAACTAAACCCTAAACCCTAAACCCTAAACCCTTAACCCCAAAACTAATTGGGGTTAAAGGTAGTACTTCGGCCACTGCGCCAAGGCTGCCTCTCGGCACCGGCCTCGCTGCTTTCTTTTCCCTTTTAGGGTTTAGGGTTTAGGGTTAAGGGTTTAGGGTTTAGGGTTAAGGGTTTAGGGCTTAGGGTTTTCCGAATCATGTGAGCTGTAGTCCCAACTCCTTAAAAGAGGTTATATGGGGGATTAGATCGGGTTTAGGGTTTGGGATCTAGGGTTTGGGGTTTAAAAGGGGTCATGAAGGGGACTATATTATGTAGGGGAGTATCATGGGGATTTTTGAGGGGGATGCTAGGAGTTTAGACTATAGCTCATGTGAATTCTTGTCAAGATTAGGGTTGCCAACAGACCATTAGGTAGTTTGGTACATAGGAACCGCTGTGCATGAACTACATGCGAGATAGCCATATATCCCTAGACCCTAAGCCCTAAATGCAACAGTAATTACCCATTTCATGTTCCATTATCTTTTCGATTGTCCATTATTTCCCCAACCCTAGACCCCTAGATGCCAGCATATACCTTTTAAAAGGTAAAGCATCCCTGGCCAATAACTATACGGAAAAATGTTGTATGCAGCTCATGTCATCCAAGATTTTCGGAGCAGCTTGCCACTCCTTCCTGGACCTCCACACCCTGAATAAGGTCCTTATGTCAACTTATGCTCCTGAAGCCTGCTCCGTGAGCCCTGAATGCCAGACCCTGATCCCTTGAATCCAGTTTCCATTCTCTTTTCCATTATCCATATATAACCCTAATGTATACCCCACATTATGTAGTAGTTTCCATTTTCTTTTCCATTATCCCTATATACCCATATTACGTAGTAGTTTCCATTTTCTTTTCCATTATCCATATACACTATATTTGTAAACTCCCCTCCCCAAGCTTTGGGCTGTTAACTGGAACTCCAAGCCCTACCCTAAGCCCTTAGCCCTGAAACCAAGCACTCAAAAAGCGAAGGCAAGCAGAGCCACTGTGGGCATGTTCATGACGTGGAGGAATGCGCCTTGCGCAGGGAAGTTGTTCTTGGGAGGGAAATAGGAGAATATATTAGATAGGGATTATGTAGGGATGATATTCCTGCATTTCCTACTAAGAACCAGTAAGCAGGGTTGTTCGGGAGGGTTGGACAAAATAACCAAAATTGTGCTCTTACTCACTGTTGGTGACTATAGCATTCCAGGGCTTCCGTCGGTCAACGCACAGTAGCGCTTGTGGCACACAAAGTGATTCAACTCATTGTTCAAGCTTTAAACTTATGTTCCCGATGTTGAATACTACTCCTGCAGGGGTTAACCTTCAGTCCTTGGTCTTTAGGGCGTCTGCTGGATGATTTGGAGGGCGCACATGAAAGGTTTCGAGCTTTGGGTTTAAGGTTGCACGGATTGTTTGGAGCCTAGGATGTGATTGCGCCTGGCCGTTAGGAGCCAGGGGCATGCATGCGACTTGCGCTTCTGCAGCTCAGGTCTCATCGGCTCCACCCCAAACACCCGGCGCACGAAGGTTCAGGCGTGGCATGTCGGGCTTTACTCTTGCAACTAGAATCAAATACGTTCTGCCAGAACATGGCCAGCGGCGTCATGCCCCAGTGTCGACGTCGAAGAGTGTCACCCCAGTCCCTGAAATCGAAAGCCCACAGCTGCGTCAGATGAATGTCCAACGGCTCCAATTTGAAGCGGCTAAAGAGGGGTATTCCGTTGGTTGAAGGCATAACGCAGAAGTCGACCTGAATCCTCAAACCAAATCAGTATGCAAGCCCTTAGGCTTTAGGACCTTGGGCTCCAACACTCGGATAGTTGAAGAGGAAATCCCGGAAATCCAGGGACCAGTGTCCCGAATGAGATCGGAAGAAAAGATCTGAAGGCTGGAATCATAGGCCCATGGTATGAGCCCCAGATCTGGTATCCCTATACCACGTATGTTATGTACCTTTGATCTACTCTACAACACCGTAGAAGCCGAATCTCAGGACCCCAGGCAGGTATGGACCCAGGGTAGGACCTCAGAAAGACAAGTGCGTTTGGGGGCTTACGGTTTCCGGCTTAGCTAGTCAGAGGCACCTGCAAGGAGAACTTAGGACCAGACTGAAAGTAGCTCTGAATCCCAAAGCCGCCCTTTAACCTCAAGTGCCAAGCCCTCAACTGTACGCCCCTTACCTTACTGTTGGTTAACAGGGAATAAGGGAATGTACTCCCTATATAACCCCTATATAATATATTCCCATATTCCCTGCTTACCCCCAGTAAGTTGCTGCTCGCCTCCGCAGACACCACCAAGGAGGATTATCATCTGCGCCTCCCAGGTTGCCAGCTGGGCGAAAGCATGGAGAATCTGGCTTAAAACTTCTTACTATGGGTTAGTAAGGAATATGGGAATATGTTACTTAGGGGTTATATAGGGATTATGTCCCCTACTAACAAACCAGTAAGATTTGGAGCCCCGAAAACATTCAGAGTTAGGGGGAACCCACAATCATCGACTGAACCAGAGCTGTCTTAAAGCCCCAAGCTCCCTCGCCCCGTGATACGCCCGGATCCTGGGGAGAATATCTGGCAATCTTGTTCAGGCCTGAGAGTTGAGGGCCTAAGGCCTCAGGTTCCTTTCAAGAGCTACTCAAAAGCGCCCGTGGAATCCTACGAGCGCTATATATCAAGGAAAAGCTTGCCTGGACACCTGCCATTCCTGCCCCCGAAAAGCAATGAATTCAACTGGAAGGGTAACCGCCACCTCGAACAGTACTGAACTTTCAAGACACCGGAAACCCTACAACCCAGGTCCTACACCCTGAGCACGAAGCCTAAACCCTAAGACCCCACCCCTAACTTCCTGGTGGTTAGTAGGAAATACGGGAAGATACTATGTAGGGATTATGTAGTGATTCTATTCCCTGATTCCCTACCAACCACCAGTAAGCCAGGCTCTACACTTTTAGCCCTGAGCCTCCTTAGGCCCTAAGCCCTAGCCTCGCAAACCAAAACCCTCAGCCGTAAGTCCTCAACCCCAAACCCTAAACTGTAAACCCTAAACCCTGCAATGTATGTGCCTGACGAAATGCCAACATTATCCCATCATCAGCCTCATACAAACTTATCTAACGCACACCAACACGCTGCTCTAAGTACGTAGACCCCAAAATACTATAATCCTTTTTGCCCCAAAATGGTATCCCTGATTTTTGGGAAACCCTAACCCAAACCCCCAAACACTGAACCCTAAATCCTGAAAAGCAGCTTCCATGTTCTTTTCCATTATCCCTATATAACTCTCATATATACCCCTAAAGACTAGAACCCTATATACCCCTTTGAAGGGACCTAGGGTTTCCATTTTCTTTTCCATTATCGTATATAGCCCCAATGGTACCCTAATATCATACCTTATAATCCCAGTTTCCATTTCATTTTCCATTTTCTTTTCCATTTGATTCTCCATTATAGGGATATAATAACCCCAATATATAACCCCTATAATCTTACTAGGTTCTATAACCCCAGAAATACTATAGTAGTTTCCATTTTCTTTTCCATTATCCCCATATAACCCGTATAACATATAACCCTAATACTACCCCAATGGTACCCCTAATATCATGCGATGGCCCAGGCCTCCATACCGCCCAGGCCTGCTACACGTTCTCCGGAGCTCCACACCTGCGATGCCTGGGAGAAGTTTTTGGGTGTTTGATGGATTTAGGGCATTCGGGAGTTTGCAGGTTTAGGGTTGCGGATGAGGGGTTTAGGGTTTTGGGTTTTGGATTTCGGGGTCTAGGGCCCTTAGGGTTGAGGGCTTTAGCGGCCAGGCAAGGTTTTAGAAGCAAGGTATGACTACACTACATGACCGCATTACTGGTTTCGTCCTAAAGCGGTGCTTTACGTGGTGGGACTGCGATTAGCAACCAGTTACTTGGAGATGCAGTGCATGAGCCAACTGCTCGCCCAGCATACATGAAAGACTCATGCGAAGGCTGCCATGAAGGCTGTCATGAATGAATGAATGCATGAATGAATGAATGAATGAATGAAGGAATGGCCCTTGTCAGGTTCACCCCGAACAATGCTTCGAAGATGGCCGTGAAACGCAGGACAGGAAGTGGCTTTCCTCCCGAAGAGAGATCCCCGTTCATACATGACTTGCCTACCAAGATGTGGAAAACCATGCCAAGAAGTTCTTCGTTCTAGTCTCATATGGTTTAAGGTCCCCCTTAAGTAGATAGAAAATGGCTTGGGTATACTAGAATAAGATCCCCATATATGCTATACTCTATCTACTTGAGGGCGACTATAAGGTCTGGGGTTTAGGGTAAGCATACGCCTGATTCAAACGCTCGGCTTCAAGAAGCTGGAGCATGCCAAGGCAGATCTGGGTTAGGAACCTGACCTTGAAGTTCACCGGAGTCCCGCTAAAGCAGATGGGATATGGAGTTGACCAAAACCATAAGACGACGCCCATATACCCCACATGGACTATACAACAAACCCCAAAACCCAAATTCCTAAACCCCTAAACCCCTAAACCCGAGTCCCTAAACCCTTAGGGACTATAGGCGTTCAGTAACTCAACCCTTGTTTAGAGTGTAGGGTTTCGGGCTCAAGGTCCCCTTATACCGCATAGCCGAAGCCTCAGATCCTACCAACATGGGAACGTCCTCAGTCCGTGGCTGACTGTACAAGGGATAAGCTGCCAGCGCTTTTCGCTAGCCTGTCTTCGAGAGAATTGGGTCCTTGAGGTCTCTGTCAAATTCAAGGTTATATAGGGATACATAGGGGCAAATGAGGCATATAGGGTGTATAGATTTAGATAGGGCTAAAAACGCGTTATATAAGGGTTATATAGGCGTAGATATGGGTTACGGAAGGTTGTATACGGTTTCAAATTCAGGGTTTAATCCCCAACCCCCCACACCTTCATAAGCACCCCAATGTAAAACTATCGTAAAATCAGCTGAATTCTGTACTCTTAGGGTGGCGGGCGGGTACATTTTTACGGAAAGGGATTAAGGATGCACGAGGGTTACGAGTTGTTTGTAACGGTCGCCGCTGCCTATCATGTAAGGATCATTTTTTGTTTTCGCAGCCTGGCTTTGAAACTTCAACTATTTTGAGTGATCCCCTGCCACCCAACAGAAATCCACCACAAGTGTTAGTGGTGGTGACATTGGGGTCCATCCACATTCTGATCTAATCGCTGCTAGCGGGTGGGAGGAGGTTGGGGCTGAGATTGTAGACTTCTTCCGAGTATTTTTGGAAACTCTTGCCGGTTTTGTCCTAAAAAACAACCCTAAACCCTAAAACCCTAAACCCTAAAACCCTAAACCCTAAATCCCTAAACCCTAAAACCTTAACCCTAAGGATGTCACCGACCCGCTCCTCATTTTGCGCCTTCTTAGGCCGACCTTGCGCTTGGAGTTTGGGCTTTGGGGTTTAGGGTTTAGGGTTTAGGGTTTAGGGTTCCCTGTCGGTCCCAGAATCCAAAATCCTGTGCCGTAAAGCCTAATGTAGCTGCTCCTGAACAACTCTGACAATAAACCTGCCCACCCCCCCCACCCTTTAGGGTTTAGGGCTTAGGGGAATAAACCCATCCAACCCACCTCCCCTGATAACTGTCTCCGTTTTGCACAATGCACGGTGCTATATTGGCATTCATTATTTGACGCGTTCGGGGAGGGGGGTCTATCATGACGTTGAGGGGGTTACCACCCACTTAATTTTGGCTTGTCTGTTTTCGCCAGTAGAGATTGGGGCTTCCGGGCTTCGGATGTTGCATGTCAGCACTTGCTTTGCAACACGGCGTAAAGCAAGGCGACATGTCCGTAAGATTTCCCAGAGATCCAGATCCTGAATATCTGAAGTAAGCACACGTTGAACGAGTTGAGCCCCAACATGACCCAAAGTAAATTTCTTGCTTAAGGGCATTGGGCTTCCTGGGTCTGTGGAGGAAATGAACCTCGCCAAACAAGGCGCGTTCTCTTATGTTTAGGGCTTAGGGCTTAATATCCCAAGCCCCAGATGTCCCAAGCCCCAGATGTCTCTCGCTCTTGTTGGTCTCAACCCGATCTGAAACACCCCTCATCTTACCCTGAAAATGCCACATACCCTAATCCAAAGCTCCCACCACAACAATACACCCCAAACTCTAACTAATTCCTAAAACCTCAACCCTACATGAACCCTAAACCCTAAACCAAACCTAATTAACCCTAAGCCATCCCGCAAACACGTAAACCTGAAATCCTCAAAGCCGCAGCCTGGGATTCTGTAGAAGCTCAGTGGCATCGGTCTCCATCTCACCTGCGGTCGTCAAGGTTTAGGGTTTAGGGTTTAGGGCTTTGGCCTGGGGTTTAAGGTTTAGAGAGCTAAGGGGTTTCTACATCTCTTATCTTTAAAGTGCTTCTTGTTCCTGCATGGTCAAGTAGGGCACTGACGGTCTCCAACTTAGCGTTTGGGGCTTGGGCTAGTTTAGCGAATAGGCTTTAGAGCAAAGGCCTTGCGCATTGAGTTCCACGGTTCTGGCGCCCACAATCAGAACGACAACGGAAATGTTGACAGCACAGGAACTGCGGAGACAATGTGCTTCAAGCCAGTCCAAACCTGCGGAACCTGGTAAAGTTAAGACCGAGAAGATACATGACAAGCATTCTCATTGCAACTGTAGCATGCAGAGCTACAGCAATCCTGATCTGGATGTTAAGTGATGAACATCGTACGGGTAAGGGAGGTCTACGTAAGCAGGTCCTGTAGCCGGCATTAAATAACTAGGGATCTTTAGCACACGGGTCTAAGAAGTCGGAAGGCCTTCTGAACTTCAAAACGGCGTGCTTGAAGGTCGTAGGCTCTTGTGTTCTTGTGCCTGTAGGCCTATAGCCCTGAATGCGGAAAGGGTTGGAGTGTCAAAGCCGTTGCAGAGATTGGTGACATATTCTGCGTATATACATAAAGGTGTGACGATATATGAACATGCATGTATGCTTTGTCCTAAAACAGGTATGTGCGCATGTAAAAATGCATATGTGAATACTTATTAGTTATACGCATACATGCAATGTACATATGGGATGCTTCCCCAGGCACATTGCGACACGTCGTTGTCGGCAGCCTGCTCAACGTGGGGATTTCAGATAGTAGATGGAGAAAATCTAAGGACCCCAAAGGCACTGTAACTCTGAATGTGGTTTATGCTCTCCATCCACGGCATGTGGGTCGTGGGACAAAAGTCATCCTACTATGGTATGGTGCACAACCGGGCTGCTCATTTTGCCAAAGCCCCGTTCTACACCCCGGCTGGCTGAAGCGAGCTCTGAATGTGGGCCCCTGAGTTTAGCAAGTACGAGGTGTAGCGCACAAGGTCTCCATGGTTGAGGGTTGAAGGTTTAGGGTAGAGTAGCGGGCTTCTAGGAACTCGGCAGCATTCATATGTCAAAGTAACACCCAAAGTTTCTCTAGAGGTGCATTGGCCAGCCTGGACATACCACTTTAAACACTTTAGTTCGCATTTTGTGTAAGCCTGGCAAATGTCCCTGGACCTAACAGCCTCTTGTCTCACAAGTACGGGCTGCTCTTGCAAAACAACGGTTTTTCGTGAAATCTGTTTAGGGGCTCCAGTCCTGGAAGGCACTGAGGCGGCTTCAACCTTGCAACAGAACACAAGTGTGGAAATGACGAAATGCTGCGAAATACTATAGAACTGCTGCGTGCAGATTCCAGTTAGAGCAGCTGAAGATGAATCAGAACCCTAGGCCGTCACCTTGCATACATAGCTACTACTAGCTCCAACAACCCTGGTAGAGTGATGGTTTAGTCTCCTTACTGTTAAGACTGTACTCCCAAACCCTAAACCCTATACCCCAAACCCTAAACCCTAAACCCTAAACCCAAGGGAACTCACCACGCCCGCTCTGCTTTCCCGTCGACCCCAGCCCAGCACCAGATGTAGCAGCCAATAACCTTGGGTCCTGCCCCCTCGTTGGGTGTTTAGGTTGGGTGCTGCCCCCACCCAGTAACAGTCTATATTGGGGGCCCTATTAAGGGCTACATATGCCCATATTATAAGTATTATCCAACTGTTACTGAGGGGGCAGTACCCAATGTTTAGGGTTTAAGGTTTAGGGTTTAGGGTTTGGGATTGGGTCCTGCTCCCGCGCATGAACGGTCTATGATAGGGGTCAGAATAAGGGCTCTATATATAATCATGATATAAAATATTATCCAACTGTTAATGAGTGAGCGCAGTGCCCAACATCAACCCTAATCCCCAAACCAAAAGTGGATAAACGCTATTTCGTTAAATGGCAGTTCCGAAAATCCTAGTTACATAGACTTGGGGGGGCGTCCCCAAAGTTAGGGGCACCCGATAAGAAAAATTGTAGCGTTTTTGGGTCTATGATGGGTCTCCCTCTTTATGAAACTACTACTGCCTCTATTAGGGACACCGGTCGTCGTCTGCCTTCTGCGAATCCGAAGCAGCAAGGAGGATAAAGCTCGAAAGCACCAAGCGCGAGAAGACCATGGTCCTTGGCAAGTTAGGGTTTAACTGGCGGCTTAGGGAAGTTTAACATCGTGATTGTAAAAAGAATTGGGAGAATGGTAACAATACCAATAACAATATTGGGAATTTTCATAACGAATAATAAGAGAAAATTTAGCAATAAATTTCGGACCTTGTTTGGCTTCGGGCGTCTTAGGGACAATGTGGGTGCTTCATTCAATTTATGAACATGTGTACTAGAGTCTGAACCTCTTCAAGGGGGGCTATTTGGAAGATTATATAGGGGACTCTTATAGGGCTTATACAAGGGGATGCCCAGAGTTAAGACTATGGCTCATTTTGGGAATACCCATAGACGTTGGAAGCCTGTCAGGTGGTAGACAGAAGCTCGAAGAAGATAAATCAATTTGTAATCCTGTTGGGTACTTTTGATAGTATCCACAGGCAAACAGATTCCAAAAGGAAGAGAAAACACTCAATGCAGGCCTCTCCTTTGACTTGAGATTTCCTCTTGGACGTGCCAAATTCATTGACTGGCACCTTCAGACCCAAACGAAGACCTCCAGAAATGCTCGCATCAGGGAGATTTTGTCAGTGATTGCATCACAAGAATACGACACGCGGCGGAAGATGGTGATGCCCTGTGCAGGATACAGGCATCCCGGTGTTAGCAACTCACTGACCAAGTAAAGGCCCATGCAAGATCGGAATGAGGCCTACTGAATGGCAATCAGGACCACTCCGACGGACCCTGAGCCAGGGAATTCTCTTTACACCTATCGTGAGTCCATACTTGGAGGGTCAGGGGGACTTAGTAAGTAGGCTAATAACCCCTATAACCCATATAGTAACCCCAGTTCTACCCCTTTTTAACCCACTTACTAAGTCCCCTTGACCCCCCAAGTAGTAGCCCATTGAAGTAGGTTCCGCACAAGGAATGGAACAAGAGGGTTGCTATCAAGGAGTGTCTTCAAACTACTATAGGGATGCATTCCTCCAATCCCTACTAACCGACGGTAACCCTAAACCCACCAAAATGATGCCACAATTTGTTGTTGATTGCTTCTTCCCGACTGATCACGCATACTAAAACAAAGTAGAAACGACATAATTCAAGTCATGGCTCAGAGGAAAATACGGCGCCAGCCTCTTCACCGGAGGCCCCGATGCTTGATGCACGTAAACTTTGCACTACGCTGAACACACTATGGCCTGGAACATGCAAATAGCTGCCACCTCCGATGCTAACTCGCATGCTGGAATCAGGCTTTCCGAAAACAACCCCCACGGTTCGGTCTCACAACCTGGACGCAGGATTTCGAGCCAAGATGGTGTCAGAAGCTTCTACCTTGGGCGCCGCTGCTCCAAGGAGTACTATTCGATCCCTAGATGGCCTTTAGATTTTTCGAAGCCTTTACCCTGTGTGTTCCCCCAAGAAGCAGCCCCCATGCAGCGGCCCCAAGAAAAACAGGGGATAGTTGGGGGTCCCTGTTTGTGCGTACCTGCCTTGAGCATGGCAGTATGCTAGGAATTATGCCAGGGCCCCCACTTTTGGAAACGCGCATCTAAACCCTAAAACCTAAACCCTCCAATCTCTTTGGAGAGATAAGCACAGACAGCCAGGCCAAGGTGATTGAAACCATCGGTGCATCAAATCGCTCAAACCATCAGGTATCGTAGGGAAACCTTAGGTGGACCCACCACCCTGTAATCGCGGTATACTACGGTTTAGGGTTTAGGGTTTAGGGTTAGGTGGGCTCCCCCCTGCAATAGTGACTATAAGGGATAATAATGATTATCCTAGGGTTCTCTTACATTCCCATTCCTAGTATACCACTATTACAGGGTAGGGGGCCTCCTAGAGTATCATAGGGAAACCCTAAGGCTTCA